AAAACAAAGACCAATGGGAAAACTTCATATTCCGTGTTAAAAATAATTTATACATGAGAAAACAAATAGCATATAATTCAGAATTTAGAGAATTTAAAAAACAATTAGCTAAAACAATAATAAAAACATAAAAATTCTCTATTATCAGATATAATTTTATTTACCTAATGTAAGAAAACAAGTCGGTCTATGCATCTGTCATATTTATTTTTTCAGTTAGCTCCATTGATTATCTATTAAATAAAAAGTCTAAATTAAAAAAATTCACATGTTTAGTGTAAACAATATAATGATAGAATATAGACAAAATTTTATAGAACAGATTTATACTAATAATGTGATAAGAAAATATATATCTCCAGAAAATCAGTATAGGCGATATATTAAATGTCAACATTTGTATAGAGAAGTGGATTCTCATTTATATCTTCTGCAATATTGTTATCCGTGTTCCAGAAAACAAGCAGTATTGACTATTCAGCAAATATTTCATTCATGAAATCAAAAATGAATAAACTCGGCCAAAATAATTCAGCGAGCAGTAATTAAATGACTTTATTGACCCAATGGATCATTTATAAAGTAAGCCAAAGATCGATATTATCAAAATACAAATAAGTTAAGTTAAAAATACTAATTTCATTTCAACTATATTAATATCGAATTTTTTTAGCTGGATATATTTTTTATATAATATATATTAGCAGAGTTATTTCACAGTACCGATCAAAGTGATAGAAAATTTTAATGATTATGTAGAACGAAAAGTGAAAAATGAGTTTAAATATCTCAAAGATTCTATTATAGATCTGAAATACGGAATGTACAGTATATATTTCATAAAAAGCTAGAGAATATTGTCAAACAATGTCAGTATATATATTCAGATAATTATGATTATAATAACAATACCTCAAATTCTAAAACTAAATTATCTGATGATGTAGAAATTCCCACTTGCATCTCAAAAGATAAGTCAGCAAAAAAAAATACACGAGACTAAAGTCTTCAGTTCTATCTATTCTAAACCTAAAAAGAAGTGAAATAAGAACAAGGTATATAATTGTACAAAGGTACGTAAAGAATTTTTATAGCCTATTTCAGAGAAATAACATATAAATTAATTATATAATAAACCACGATCACGATAATTCCAATTTTTTATTGCAGATCAAGTCTATAGGTACCACTATATGGCATAAACATATATTTGAGATAACGTGGATGTAGAGGAATAAACACTTTACAGGTTAGATCCACATGTTTTTTTGTGTGACTCAATTTCTCACATATACCTTCATTCGTCATTTTTTGATTAAACAAAATTCATTTCTACTTTTTTTACCGATCTTGAGTCTCACTAAGAATGAACTATCTTTATACCATTTCGGATGTAATTACTAATTTGAGTTGGGATAAATGATTACAAGAGATGTATATAAAAAGATATGAAAAGGTCCGTCTGTTTTATGTGGCCATTATGCTGAGAACGGAAAAAATTCCAACTAATAATCTTAAAAACCTCGCATATAGCATCCTAAAAAACCTCAACGACGATGTTATCAAAAATAAGAAATTCACCAAGTTGCCTAACTGTGTGGAATGTGATAAAAAGATTTTTTCCAGTCCCAATAAAGCAATAAAATTACTGTGCCACGTGTTACATAATATTGTGCAAACAGGGACACAGAAAAATTCCAATATCAAATTACAAATTTTTATCACGGTATCATCAATTATTCCAATTTATTCCACTAAAAATTTTTATAAGAAAACTACACAAATTATCATTTTTAATTACTATTTTGATTGTTAAAATACATCATAGTGAGAAATTTAAGTGATTCTTTACTTAAATTCTGTTTATCATCATCTAGAATCTTGTTATATGCAGAAAAACTTCTTTCAACTGCGCAGGATAAAATTGGTAACCAAATATAATTACATGCTATTTTTTCTAAAAAAAGAAATTTTAATGAAACCTTATTCCAAAATTCATTCAAATCAGTAAATTCCACAGAGTTTAGATTGATATTAATATAGATTGACCATTCTTGAATAAGGCATGTTGATGGATTAACTAGTTCTCTAATAATTTGATAAGAGTAAATATCCCAATTAGCAGCTGTTAAAGTTAAAAATCGTGAATTGAAAATTTGTACAGCTTTAAATAAAGAATGTGCAGGATGCTGTAATACATGATTTTCAAGTTTTTTATAAGCTACATAATACGCTTGTTGGAATATTGAGTAGAATGATGTTAACGGAGTGTTTAATTTTTGCAATACTAAATTCACAGTTGATCCAAAATTAGTCATAGTTTTTCCCATAATTATTCGTACTTCAAGTTGTTGTAATTGTTGTTTAATAAAGGGGAATATTGGTTTAGTTTCTTGTTGAAAAAAATCAAGATCAGCCACAAATTGTTATGCATTTTCCTGAATAAATGCCAAATAAATTTCAATACTTCCATTGAATTGCTGATCAGTAAAAATTGAATTTATTTTTTCAATTATTGATATTGAATTTTCTTTACTCTCTTCATTATAAAATCTACGAATATAATTCAAATGTTGGTATATATAAAATGCCATACGAAACCAGGTATTCTATCTTGTTGCATTAGATAGAGATATATTTTTTGAATTAGATACTCCATGACAATAAAGATATGATATATAACGTACTCTTTGACTTTTACAAAAAACAAAAGTTTGTTTAATATCTGCAAGTAATTGATGTACAATTTGAAAATAATTAATTGATGCCCATGCTTCCCTAAAAATATATGAATAAATTATTTAGCATAAAATTCTAAATAAAAAATAAAAAATTAAAATTACTAACCTGATAAGATTTAATATATGTGCTAAACATGGCAAATGAATCAATTGAGGCATTATGGATTTTAATACATCCCGATAACATTTTTTCATATAAGCTGCTGAATCTGATGCAATTAATAATGGTAAATCAAAAGGAATTGTCCACTGAACTAGAATTTGAATTATAAGTTGTCCAATTATACAATTATTGACACTTTCCAAATAATCAACATGGGTTAATTTTGTTATACCATTATAACTAAAAAGGATATTAACTACACTTCGTGCTCTACTATCTGTGGTTTCGTCTACAATAATTGAAACTCGTTTACCACAAAAATATTTTTAAGTTGATCAACATGATTTTCAAATAATTTTGATAGATATTCACAGCGCAAGGTATCTGATTTTGAAATAAAACCTCCTTCACGGCAATTTTCACATAACCACTTTTGAAGCTTATCCACTTTTTCTAACGGAATATCAGCTATTACAAATGCTTCTACTAAATTATTTATAATAATTTTTTTTGCTTCAGATGTATTAATTAAAGTTTGAATAGTTGGTTGTCTCTTTTTTATTTGTTGATTTTCTTTCTCTTCTTTATTACCAATATGTGTTTAGAGCCTATATGAGCAGTAATAGTATTTTTGGTTTGAAAATTAATACTATGATCACAAAAATGACACATAAGTTTACCATTATCGGCAAAAAAATAATCAGAAAATTCTCGTGCACGCGAAATAACAGTAATAGTAGAAGAGGGTGGCATAAATTATAATTGGCTATCTGCACAAATATTACACAAAAAGTACAAAATTTATAAAAATTCCACTTTATTCCATTATACAGCAAAAATTCCGATTTATTCTTTTATTATAATAATAAAATTTTTCCGGGTCCCTGTGTGCAGAACTTGTGAAGTCATATAATGACGTATGACGTGCGTGTGTATTTTATATGACGAAGTATGTCTTATTTTTTTAATTTTCAATTTCAGCAAAAATGCAAACTCGTAGCAAAACTAAAAGTAAAGTACATGTGTTTTCGAGCATTTTTTGTGGAGAACTCATTGTAATTAATGAAAAAATATCTTTCGTAGAGGATGTTCCACCCACTATTGCTAGCACATCTAACACACCAAGTGTTCCACACCTACGAAAGGAACTATCTATGTCCAGTGGTAAAGTAAACTTATTACAAGTACCGTTTGTGGAGAAGTCACTAATTGCTTTCTGCGAAAAAACAGGTCTCGAAAACCTTCAGTTAGGCCCCTCGTCACCTCCTACCAAAATCTGGGTCAAGTATGGTAATAACCAGCCAGTAAAAATTGTTTTCGATGGAGAGGATGTAGATGACTTAAAAGAAGCAATCAAGAAGAAACTGTCACCCAAGTTGAATGACGTGGCAGTCGACGACATTACTTTAAGAAGACACGGTGAAAAGGTAGACCTAGATCCTGACCTTGCTGTGGACCAGAGCTTTAAGAATAACGCAAGTACATCTCTACAAGTCATCGTAAATGCACCTGGTATGTATTCAAAGTTTATTGGGAAAGAAGCGATGATTAGCAGGCTAAAATAGTTTTATGTTTTTATGACATTAACTAACTACGGCTTTTTATAAGCGACGTTAAAACGTAAACGTGAAGAGTCATCAGAAGTTTTAAACGAGATCGTAAAAACAATGCAGGAAGGATTCTCCCAGCTTAAGTCTGTTGAGATAATCAAAGCATCGAGTCTCCCGGAAGATAGAGCAAGGGATCTAGCGGGACATCTTGGATTAACATTTTTGGATGTAGGTATACTCCTCCTGTATTATTGAATGATTTGATTATTTACCATTTATCCATTATTAGGTCTTAGAGACAGCCTATAAACCTATCGAACCCATATCATGCGAACCATTCGAATGGAATATGGAAATTAGTGAAGATCGTCAAATGTCCGAAGTTGTGGAATGGTTTAAGGATGCATTAAATTTATCAGAAGATTTTCATGTTCGGGATGTCCATAATAGAAGTGGTTATAACCGACATATACCAAGTGCTAATGTCACTTTAACAGGTGGTACCGATATTTCTATTGGACCAAGCGCTACCCCCTGTGTTTGGGTTGAAACTAAGAAAAGGAAGGAGAATTTTAAGGAAGGTCAAGCTATCGGAGAATTATTTTTAATTGACAAGTTGTATCCTACAAAATCTATGTCTGTCTTAACTGATTGCAAAGACAATTGGATGATTTACTTTTTTTCGGAGACAGAGGACAAGAAGCGACATTTAACATCATCTAAAATTGATAGTCACGGTATTGCTTTGGCAATAATTAAACAGTTCGTACTTGATGAATGGAAAACTGTTCGAAATGTAGCTGGGCCAAATATTATATATCAAACAAATTTACCCGCACCACTTACAAAGAAAATAAAGCTTGAATCTATACCCGATGAGGTTGATGACAGAATGGCAGACGTAATCGATAATATGACGGGAAAAGAACTATTTAACATGTCAATGCGCAATAGATTAAAATTAGCAAAAAGTATTATTAGAATAGAGGAACAACCAATTATAGATCAGTTTATTAGGCAGTTTAGTGATGATTATGAAAATCCGCCACCATTGATGTACGCATAACGCAGATATTTATTATAGATAGTAACAGAAAGTATAAAATTTTTTTCAAACAGAGTTACATCTTTTATTGATTTATTAATTTTCAATGGTCTTCTAGCCCTAATGTTAATAAAAAATAATAAAGTTATGCGTTTTGTTCGCATGTTTTGATTAACGACAATTGATCCAGTGTTTATGTATCTCCGTGATCTGCTTGTCAATATTTGATAATTATATTTTGTATTGTGTAATTGAATAATTCAACTTTTATAATGTATTTAAGTACTCCCAATGATACCCTCCGGCAGAGGCTAGACGACCTTTGTCAAACTTTACCAATATTTGACCTATCAATTCCAGTTATGCGTTGTGCTTCAGCTAAGGATGGAAATTCTTGACAAGACCCATCATCAAACATCTGCTTAACACCACATTGACGCTGAAGCCCGAGGCGCACAGCATGCTGGGAGTTTTCTTTTTTTGAACACCATTCAAGATTAGATGCTTTATTGTTCGTTGAATCCCCGTCAATATGATTCACATATTCTTTGCCTTCTTTTTTTGGGCAAAATGCTGATGCTATCAAGCGATGGACAAAATATTTGTGGACTTTGCAATCAAAACGTTTTCCAATTTTAAGATATCCCGCATCTAGAGATCCTTGAGTGATTTTACCATTCCTTAACCAAATTCTTCCTAGAGATGAAACTTTGAATTTTTGAGATTGATATTCAATATCACTCCATTCTTCATTGGAATCTTGTTCTATGTAATCTTCATAATACATCCAGCACCATTCACCAGCGGTATTTTGCTCTCCTCTACAACATTTTGAAACACTGCTTTTAATTATCTTCAGAGTATTTGATGCGAGAGTGACAGAATCCCAAATCTGAACAACATTCCCATCTAATGACTTCTGTACGATTCGTGTGGAACTACGACCAGGATTTGGAAATACTGTACGTTCGACATTCTCCTTCGGAGTTACCCATTCCAAATTAATAGCCCGATTATCATGTTTGATGCCATTAATATGGTTAACATAAGGCTTATTTTCTGGGTTAGGAATGAAGGCTTGTGCAACTAAAATGTGAACTCTGGTATTTTTACGTACACCATTAATTTTAAACTCTGTTAGTATATAACCACTTCTTTTGCAAGCATTTCGCCTTAAAATCTCACCTTTATTGTTTTTGATGTGTCCAAAATTGGATACAAATAAATTCGAAAGTGATATAGATAACCAAACTTCCATTATGATATGATCTCTTTTATTACTGTATAGTTATTCTTTAAATTTATGAAGTCAATAGTATGATATTTACATATCGTGTCTGTTCTTTGGATTATTTTTTCACTTCGAATTGCAGAGTACGTTTACTGCGCCACATTTCTGCGCCAGTGTGACACGCGTGTCGTGAGTATTTATATTCGATTCCATCATGAAAAATTTATTACTCACATCAAATTCCAAATAAAATATTTCCCATATCGGGTTTGTGAAATGCATCATCTATCATTAAATAATTATTTGTTATTTTATTTCATGTTTTGTAATTGAGTGTGAATTCGTGATTTATGCATGTGATCGCGGGAAAATGATATACTAACTATTCCATAGATAATGATTTGCGTCATAAACACCCATCCAACTCTAGCATAGTTTTTCAATCATTTCATGCATCTTAACTTCCTCTAAAGACTCAGCTTTAATCTTAGCATTCTCTCCCATAGCCTGTTTTAGCTTTACATTTTCTGCCTTAACCTTGATGTTTTCAGCCTCAAGTATAATAATATGCTGTTCCAATAAATCAATTTTAGATCATGTGTTAGTCAGCATTGCCTTAACTTTTGTGTTTTCAGCCTCAAGTATAATAATATGCTGATTTGATAAATTGATTTTAGATTGTGTGTAAGTCATTGTTTTATATAAATTGCAGATATAATCAAAAGTCTTTATTAATAAAATATATATACGATAAATATACAGGATAAAAATATATGATAAAAATACAAGATATCAATCAAAGATAAGCCCACATCAGAAATAAAAAAAAACTAATTGTCAGAATCAATAGTTGAGCTATCTTCTACAAGTCTACCTAATTTGAATAAAGATGCATTATGGAGTAAGGTCATATTGACGATTAAAATATTTTATAATATTAACAAGGTCTCTATAAATTTTGTAACAATGGAAGGAGGCAATTGTTAAATTGGTATTTCTGATTTATGGAAATGGTAATAACGATATACCTTACTCATATCTCTAATAAGAATACTTAGATGTAATTTTTTTCCCACCACTTGTACATCAATAATACCGAATTCATCTTTATTAGGCTTACAACTCTTACAAGTCCAATACATATCATCATTAGTTTCATGCTACAACTTTACTTCATCATTCTTTTCCTTTCGTGTTGTACAAGTCAAACGTGAGCATTCGGCATATAAAAGTTCATAATTTTTTTTATCACGCTTCATTATAAACATTATATCCAGTCGTCTTCCCAATCACCTATCGCCTTTTCTATCAGCGCTAGTACTGCTTTAATGTTCAGAACTATTGACAAATGTAGATTTACTTAGAGGAAGACACTTTAATGTAGCCCGTATAGCTGATAATATTATATTATTTACATAAGTGCCTTCACTTTGCAATTTTGCAAACTCAGGATCAAATGTTTGATTATTTCATGTATCATTCAGAGTACTCAAAATTCTCAATGTAACCTCTGCAAGCTCCTCATTCATTTCTTTCCACTTTTCATTATGTACTAACTTTGTGATAAACTGTCTATATCTCTTCCAATAAAGTTTTCTATGAATTCATTACATTTTTCTTGTATAATAGGTGAAAGGGATGGAGGTACCATTTGCCATATTGGTTTCTAATAATATGATATATTAGCATATGAATTTCATCAATTTTATAAAAAATACTTACCATAAAAGAGTCCCTTAATTGTGTAGGTAAATTCAATACCAAATCTAAATCGTCGCTAATTACTTGACTAGCCAAAGGGTCCTCCCAGGTCTACTCAGAAATAGATACTTTATTTATGCTGAAAAACAAATATTGGTAAAGTTGTAAATGATTTTTTTTAAGTTTTCCTTTTAGCGCTTTGATATTTTTTTCGATTTGACTGGAACTAAGAGGCTTTTCTTCATTCATTTTCACTGTTCCAATGATATGTAAACTACGAACAGTTTTATAAGATATTTCGAACTAATACAATTATTAGTTAGTTAGATTTAATATTAATAAAAATAATTAGTACCCTATACTAGCTTTGCTAAAAAACGCATGTACCGTCAGAATATAAATAAAGCCATATCCTTGTGTGGTTAGCTACTCCAACATGCAAATAAGACTTTATGTGATACTAAATCGACCTCATAGAATAAAACATATATTTAACCTAAAATAACTTCCACACTGCTAAGGAATTTTTCTGTAAGTGGGCTAATAGGATATTTAAACTATTACATTTTTTACTCAGAATGATATCACTATTTACGTTATTCATCATTCAATATGTCCCTTGTCACTAAAGATTCTCATAAGCTGAACCGAGCTGAGCCTCATAAAGCTCAGGCCAAGCTAAGCCCAAAAGTCTTAAGTTCAGCTCGAGCCTAAGTTTATAAGTTAAGCTCGAGTCGAGTTGAGCCTTACTTATATAGGCTCATAAACTTAACAATTTACAGACTTTTTTTAATAATACAAATTTCTTTATTATTATTTGTTAAAATTACAAAATTTTAACTATAGATGTAGATTTGCATGTTATACATGTTGCCCAAATCCCAAATCATTTGGGATTTGGGATGCCAAAATTTCAAATTACTAGTATTTGAGATTTGGGATTTGGGATTTCAGCAAAAAATACTAATCATAATTTGGGATTTGAGATTTGGGATTTTGGCATTTGGGA